GGAGAGACTGGGATGGACTGGGATGGACTGGGAGGGACTGGGAGGGACTGGGAGGGACTGGGATGGACTGGGAGGGACTGGGAGGGACTGGGATGGACTGGGATGGACTGGGGGCACTGGGGGGCACTGAGGGGATAGTGGGGGATACTGGGGGCACTGGGGGCACTGGGGGCAATGGGGATACTGGGGGGCACTGGGATGCACTGGGGGCACTGGGGGATACTGGGGGATACTGGGGGGCAATGGGGGGCACTGGGGGCACTGGGGGGCACTGGGGGGATACTGGGGGCACTGGGGGGCACTGGGGGCACTGGGGGGCACTGGGGGGCACTGGGGGCACTGGGGGATACTGGGGGGCACTGGGGGCACTGGGGGGCACTGGGGGCACTGGGGGCACTGGGGGATACTGGGGGACACTGGGGGATACTGGGAGGGACTGGGGGGCACTGGGGGGCACTGGGGGGCACTGGGGGATACTGGGAGGCACTGGGGGCACTGGGGGCACTGGGGGCAATGGTGACGCCCCAGTGACCCCGGGCACATCTCCTGCTCTCCCCACAGCAAATCGGCGGCATCGGGGACGGCCAGGTGGGAAAATCCCCAAATCCCAAACCCCAAATCCCCAAATCCCAAATCCCCCACATCCCCAAATCCCCAAATCCCCCAAATCCCAAACCACAAATCCCCAAATCCCCAAATCTCCCAAATCCCAAATCCCGATATCCCCAAATCCCAAAACCCCAATCCCCCAATCCCCCAATCCCCAAATCCCCACATCCCCAAATCCCCAAATCCCCAAATCCCAAATCCTCAAATTCCCAAATCCGTAAGTCCCCCAGTGTCTCCCAGTCCCTCCCAGTCCATCCCAGTTCCCTCCCAGTCCCTCCCAGTCCCTCCCAGTCCATCCCAGTCCCTCCCAGTCCCTCCCAGTCCATCCCAGTCCCTCCCAGTCCCTCCCAGTCCATTCCAGTATCCCCCAGTCCCTCCCAGTCCCTCCCAGTCCATCCCAGTCCCTCCCAGTCCCTCCCAGTTCCCTCCCAGTCCCTCCCAGTCCCTCCCAGTCCCTCCCAGTCCCTCCCAGTCCATCCCAGTCCATCCCAGTCCCTCCCAGTCCATCCCAGTCCATCCCAGTCCATCCCAGTCCCTCCCAGTCCATCCCAGTCCATCCCAGTCCCATCCTTTGCTCTGCCCCTGCAGTCCGGGATCGTGGGAGGCATCGGGGGCTGCATCAAGGTGAGACTGGGGATACTGGGGATACTGGGAGGGACTGGGAGGGACTGGGAGGGACTGGGAGGGACTGGGATGGACTGGGAGGGAACCGGGATGGACTGGGATGGACTGGGAGGGACTGGGGGAACTGGGTTATACTGGGTGATACTGGGTTATACTGGGTTATACTGGGTTACACTGGGCTATACTGGGCTATACTGGGTTATACTGGGCTGTACTGGGTTATACTGGGATATACTGGGTTACACTGGGTTACACTGGGTTATACTGGGTTACACTGGGCTATACTGGGCTGTACTGGGTTATACTGGGATATACTGGGTTACACTGGGTTACACTGGGTTATACTGGGTTACACTGGGTTACACTGGGCTATACTGGGCTGTACTGGGTTATACTGGGATATACTGGGTTATACTGGGTTATACTGGGCTATACTGGGCTATACTGGGTTACACTGGGTTATACTGGGTTATACTGGGTTACACTGGGATATACTGGGTTATACTGGGTTATACTGGGTTACACTGGGTTACACTGGGTTATACTGGGTTATACTGGGTTACACTGGGTTACACTGGGTTACACTGGGTTATACTGGGTTACACTGGGTTACACTGGGTTACACTGGGTTATACTGGGTTATACTGGGTTATACTGGGCTATACTGGGCTATACTGGGTTATACTGGGCTGTACTGGGTTACACTGGGTTATACTGGGTTATACTGGGTTATACTGGGTTATACTGGGTTACACTGGGTTATACTGGGTTATACTGGGTTATACTGGGTTATACTGGGTTACACTGGGTTATACTGGGTTATACTGGGCTATACTGGGTTATACTGGGCTATACTGGGCTGTACTGGGTTATACTGGGTTATACTGGGTTACACTGGGTTATACTGGGCTGTACTGGGTTATACTGGGTTATACTGGGTTATACTGGGTTACACTGGGTTACACTGGGTTATACTGGGTTATACTGGGTTATACTGGGTTACACTGGGATATACTGGGTTATACTGGGTTATACTGGGTTACACTGGGTTATACTGGGTTATACTGGGCTATACTGGGTTATACTGGGCTATACTGGGCTGTACTGGGTTATACTGGGTTATACTGGGTTACACTGGGTTATACTGGGCTGTACTGGGTTATACTGGGTTATACTGGGTTATACTGGGTTACACTGGGTTACACTGGGTTATACTGGGTTATACTGGGTTATACTGGGTTATACTGGGCTGTACTGGGTGACCCCACAGTGACCCCGGTTCCTCTCCCCTCTCTCTGCAGAAACCAAAAGGATTCGGAGCCAAGAAAGTTGAGGTGGGCACCAGTATAGACCAGTATGGACCAGTATGGACCAGTATAGACCAGTATGGACCCATATAGACCAGTATAGACCAGTATGGACCAGTATAGACCAGTATGGACCCGTATAGACCAGTATAGACCAGTATGGACCAGTATAGACCAGTATAGACCAGAATGGACCAGTATGGACCAGTATAGACCAGTATAGACCAATATGGACCAGTATAGACCAGTATGGACCAGTATGGACCAGTATAGACCAGTATAGACCAGTATAGACCAGTATGGACCAGTATAGACCAGTATAGACCAGTACGGACCAGTATGGACCAGTATAGACCAGTATGGACCAGTACGGACCAGTATAGACCAGTATGGACCAGTATGGACCAGTATGGACCAGTATGGACCAGTATGGACCAGTATGGGCTGGGGGGCTCTGGGGGGTTTGGGGCCCTCTGGGGACAGGGGATGTCCCTGTGCTGTCCCTGGGGTCACACTGGGGTCACTCCGGGGTCACTCCGGGGTCACACCGGGGTCACTCTGGGGTCACTCTGGGGTCACCCTTGGGTCACTCTGGGGTCACACCGGGGTCACTCCGGGGTCACTCCGGGGTCACTCCGGGGTCACGCCGGGGTCACCCCGGGGTCACTCTGGGGTCACTCCGGGGTCACTCCCGGGTCACTCCGGGGTCACTCTGGGGTCACTCTGGGGTCACCCCGGGGTCACTCTGGGGTCACTCCGGGGTCACTCCGGGGTCACACCAGGGTCACACCGGGGTCACTCCGGGGTCACTCTCTCCTGTCCCGCTCAGGCCGCCAGGATTTGATCGTCCCTGCAGAGCCGCCCTGGTCATGGCCCCGGAAGGATCGATAATCGATAACCGATAACCAATAATCGATATTTGATAATCAGTGATCAATAATCAATCGTTCATAATCAATATTTAATAAAACCTTCAGCAAAGCATGTCCCCTCGGTGTCCCCTCAGTGTCCCTGTGTGTCCCCTCAGTGTCCCCGCAATGTCCCCATAGTGTCCCCACAGTGTCCCTGTGTGTCCCCATAGTGTCCCCGCAATGTCCCCATAGTGTCCCCACAGTGTCCCTGTGTGTCCCCATAGTGTCCCCATGGTGTCCCCGCAATGTCCCCACAGTGTCCCTATGGTGTCCCCACGGTGTCCCCATGGTGTCCCCGCAGTGTCCCCATGGTGTCCCCGCAGTGTCCCCGCAGTGTCCCCACGGTGTCCCCATGGTGTCCCCATGGTGTCCCTGCAGTGTCCCCATGGTGTCCCCATTGTGTCCCCATGGTGTCCCCATAGTGTCCCCTCAGTGTCCCCATGGTGTCCCCTCAGTGTCCCCTCAATGTCCCCATGGTGTCCTCATGGTGTCCCCTCTGTCCCCTCAATGTCCCCAGAGAACAGGGCACAGTGGGTGCAGCTCCCCACAGTGTCCCCACAGTGTCCCCATGGTGTCCCCACAGTGTCCCCACAGTGTCCCCATGGTGTCCCCACTGTGTCCCCATGGTGTCCCCACTGTGTCCCCACTGTGTCCCCGCAGTGTCCCCACAGTGTCCCCATGGTGTCCCCATTATGTCCCCATGGTGTCCCCACTGTTTCCCCATGGTGTCCCCACTGTGTCCCCATGGTGTCCCCATGGTGTCCCCGCGGTGTCCCCACGGTGTCCCCTCTGTCCCCAGAGGTGGGCCCACGGGGGATGCAGCTCTCAGGGGGACAGGCACAAGGGGTGGCGCTGGCCCGGGCGCTGCTCAGGAACCCCCAGGTGCTGGTGCTGGATGAGCCCACGAGGGCACTCGACCCCGTCACCCGGTGCCAGGTGGGTCACAGCCCCGGCCCTGCGTCCCTGTGTCCCCGTCCCTGTGTCCCCTGGGTCCCCTGGGTCCCACAGCCCCTGCCCCTGGGTCCCACAGCCCCGTCCCTGTGTCCCTGTGTCCCCGTCCCTGCGTCCCCTGGGTCCCCTGCGTCCCACAGCCCCGTCCCTGTGTCCCCTGGGTCCCCTGGGTCCCACAGCCCTGTCCCCTGTGTCCCACAGCCCCGTCCCTGCGTCCCACAGCCCCGTCCCTGCGTCCCCTGCGTCCCCTGCGTCCCACAGCCCCGTCCCCTGTGTCCCACAGCCCCATCCCCTGCGTCCCCTGCATCCCCTGGGTCCCCTGGGTCCCCCTGTCCTCGGGGTCCCCACTCCCTGTGTCCCCTGGGTCCCCAATCCCTGTGTCCCCCCCATATGTCCTGTGTCCCCTGGGTCCCCCTGTCCCCTGGGTCCCCACTCCCTGTGTCCCCCCATATGTCCTGTGTCCCCTGGGTCCCCTGGGTCTCCCTGTCCTCTGGGTCCCCACTCCCTGTGTCCCTTGGGTCCCCAATCCCTGTGACCCCCATATGTCCTTGTGTCCCCTGGGTCCCCACTCCCTGTGTCCCCTTGGCTGCTGTCCCCCATGTCCCCTGGGGTCTCCAGGTGTCCAAACTCCCTGTGTCCCTGCCCCTGTGTCCCTTTGGTCCCTGTGGATCCCCTGGGTCCCTTCCTTGTCCCCATGTCCTTTGGGTCCCCATTCCCCACGTCCTTTGGGTCCCCAGTCCTCGTGTCCCCCATAGGCCCCGTGTCCCCTGGGTCCCCTGGGTCCCCGTGTCCTCTGGGTCCTCACTCCCTGTGTCCCCTGGGTCCCCAATCCCTGGGTCCCCTGGGTCCCCATGTCCTCTCCTCTGGGTACTCACTCCCTGTGTCCCCTGGGTCCCCAGTCCCTGTGTCCCCCCATAGGCCCCGTGTCTCCTCTGTTCCCATCCCTGTGTCCCCTGGGTCCCCAATCCCTGTGTCCCCCTGGGTCCCCGTGTCCCCTCTGTTGCCATCCCTGTGTCCCCTGGGTCCCCAATCCCTGTGACCCCCATATGCCCCATGTCCCCTGGGTCCCCCTGTCCCCTGGGCCCTCACTCCCTGTGTCCCCTGGGTCCCCAATCCCTGTGTCCCCCCTATGCCCCGTGTCCCCTCTGTTCCCATCCCTGTGTCCCCTGGGTCCCCAATCCCTGTGTCCCCTGGGTCCCCAATCCCTGTGTCCGCCCTATGCCCCGTGTCCCCTCTGTTGCCATCCCTGTGTCCCCTGGGTCCCCAATCCCTGTGTCCCCCCTATGCCCCGTGTCCCCTCTGTTCCCATCCCTGTGTCCCCTGGGCTCTCCTGTGCCAGGTCCCCTGGGCCACCAAATCCCCCAGGACGCTCCCCGTGTGTCCCCTGGGTCCCCACCTCCTCATGTCACCTTGTCCCGTGCCAGCCCAGTCCCGATGTCCCTTTGGCCCCACGTGTCCCCACGCTCTGGGGCCCTGCTCTCCCCCCGTGTCCCCCATCCCCACCGTGTCCCCCCGTGTCCCCCCGTGTGCCCCTGTCCCCGCTGTGTCCCCGCAGGTGGAGCAGGAGCTGCTGCGTGGCCGCGGGCCAGGGCAGGGCCCGGCGGTGCTGCTGGTGACAGCGAGGGTGGCCCTGGCACAGCTGGCACCGAGGGTGGCACTGCTGGAGGGGGGGCGGCTGCGGGAGCTGGGGAGCCCCGAGGAGCTGAGGAGCCTCCCCTGGGGGACAGCGGGGGACACCGAGGATGGGGACACTGGGGACAATGGGGACAGGGACTGTGACACCGGGGATGGGGACACTGGGGACACTGGGGACACTGGGGACACTGGGGACAGGGACTGTGACACCGAGGATGGGGACACTGGGGACACTGGGGACAGGGACTGTGACACTGGGGATGGGGACAGCGGGGGACACTGAGCATGGGGACACTGGGGACACTGGGGACAGGGACTGTGACACTGAGCATGGGGACAGTGGGGACACTGAGCATGGGGACACTGGGGACAGGGACTGTGACACTGAGCATGGGGACAGTGGGGACACTGAGCATGGGGACACTGGGGACACTGGGGACAGGGACTGTGACACTGAGCATGGGGACAGCGGGGGACACTGAGCATGGGGACACTGGGGACACTGGGGATAGCGACTGTGACACTGGGGATGGGGACAGCGGGGACACTGGGGATAGAGACTGTGACACTGAGCATGGGGACACTGGGGACACTGGGGACACTGGGGACACTGGGGACACTGGGGACACTGGGGACAGGGACTGTGACACCGGGGATGGGGACAGCGGGGGACACTGAGCATGGGGACACTGGGGACAGGGACTGTGACACTGAGCATGGGGACAGCGGGGGACACCGAGGATGGGGACAGCGGGGACACTGGGGACAGAGACTGTGACACCGGGGATGGGGACAGGAGGGACACTGAGGATGGGGACACTGGGGACAGGGACTGTGACACTGGGGATGGGGACAGCGGGGGACACTGAGCATGGGGACAGCGGGGACACTGAGCATGGGGACACTGGGGACAGAGACTGTGACACTGAGCATGGGGACACGGGGACACTGGGGATAGAGACTGTGACACTGGGGATGGGGACACTGGGGACACTGGGGACACTGGGGACACTGGGGACACTGGGGACAGGGACTGTGACACCGGGGACGGGGACAGCGGGGGACACTGAGCATGGGGACACTGGGGACACTGGGGATAGCGACTGTGACACTGAGCATGGGGACAGCGGGGACACCGAGGATGGGGACACTGGGGACAATGGGGACAGGGACTGTGACACCGAGGATGGGGACACTGGGGACACTGAGCATGGGGACACTGGGGACACTGAGCATGGGGACACGGGGACACTGAGCATGGGGACACGGGGACAGGGACTGTGACACTGAGCATGGGGACACTGGGGACAGGGACTGTGACACCAGGGATGGGGACACTGGGACACTGAGCATGGGGACACTGGGGACAGGGACTGTGACACTGAGCATGGGGACACTGGGGACAGGGACTGTGACACTGAGCATGGGGACAGCGGGGACAATGGGGATAGAGACTGTGACACCAGGGATGGGGACAGCAGGGACACTGAGCATGGGGACACGGGGACAGGGACTGTGACACCAGGGACGGGGACACTGGGGACACTGAGCATGGGGACACTGGGGACACTGAGCATGGGGACAGCAGGGACACTGAGCATGGGGACACGGGGACACTGAGCATGGGGACATGGGGACAGGGACTGTGACACCAGGGATGGGGATACTGGGGACACTGAGCATGGGGACACTGGGGACACTGAGCATGGGGACACGGGGACACTGAGCATGGGGACACGGGGACAGGGACTGTGACACTGAGCATGGGGACACGGGGACACTGAGCATGGGGACACGGGGACAGGGACTGTGACACTGAGCATGGGGACACTGGGGACAGGGACTGTGACACCAGGGATGGGGACACTGGGACACTGAGCATGGGGACACTGGGGACACTGAGCATGGGGACACGGGGACACTGAGCATGGGGACACGGGGACAGGGACTGTGACACTGAGCATGGGGACACGGGGACACTGAGCATGGGGACACGGGGACAGGGACTGTGACACTGAGCATGGGGACACGGGGACACTGAGCATGGGGACATGGGGACAGGGCCTGTGTCCCCAGGCACGGGGACGCTGCGGGAGGAGCGGCCGTGGTGACAGCGATGGGGACCCCGCGGGGAGGGCGCGGCCTCGGGCGCAGGGCGGCGACAGCGGCCGGGAGCCATCGATCAATGCACGAAGCGATAGCGCAGCGATCGATAAATGCGGCTTTGGAATCGATCCCGCGATGGAATCGATCGATCAATAAACGCGTCGGGAGTGGGGGCTGGGGCCGGGACCCCCCCCCGGCGGGGCCCCTCCGCCCTCCCCCCCCCCTCCATGAGCTCATCGTTGTTGATGGAGAAAATTCCAAAATTCCCAAATTCCCAAATTCCTCGGCGGGGGCGGGGGGGGGGACACGGAGGGGACAAAAGGGGGAGGGGCGGGGGGGGACATCGGGGACCAGGGGGGACATCGGGGAGCGGGGGGGACACGGCCGGACACGGGACAGGGGCTGCACATGGGGGGTCCCTCCCCGCCCCCCCCCGACCCCCCCAGGCCCTTTTGGGGCCCCCAGGAGCCCCCCCAGTGCCCCCCCCCCCGCTGTTGTTGTTGCTGCCGGGGCTGTGAGTCACGGGCACGCCCGAACTGGGAGCACTGGGAGCACTGGGAGGGGCAGGGCCGGGGCACTGGGAGCACTGGGATGGACTGGGATGGACTGGGATGGAGTGGGCTGTGTTACTGGTGTCACTGGGATGGACTGTGCCATGTTACTGGTGTCACTGGGAGCACTGGGATGTGTTACTGGTGCCACTGGGATGGACTGTGCTGTGTTACTGGTGTCACTGGGAGCACTGGGATGTGTTACTGGTGTCACTGGGATGGACTGTGCCATGTTACTGGTGTCACTGGGAGCACTGGGATGGACTGTGCCATGTTACTGGTGTCACTGGGAGCACTGGGATGTGTCACTGGTGTCACTGGGATGGACTGTGCCGTGTTACTGGTGTCACTGGGAGCACTGGGATGTGTTACTGGTGCCACTGGGAGCACTGGGCTGTGTTACTGGTGTCACTGGGAGCACTGGGATGGAGTGGGCTGTGTTACTGGTGTCCCTGGGAGCACTGGGATGTGTTACTGGTGTCACTGGGAGCACTGGGATGTGTTACTGGTGTCACTGGGAGCACTGGGATGTGTTACTGGTGTCACTGGGAGCACTGGGATGTGTTACTGGTGTCACTGGGAGCACTGGGCTCTGTTACTGGGAGTCATGGGCTGGGCTTACTGGGGATTTTGTGCTTGCTGGTGTCACTGGAACGGGCCATACTGGTGTTACTGGGAGCACTGAGGCACTGGGGTCACTGGGATGGACTATGCTGTGTCACTGGTGTCACTGGGAGCACTGGGATGTGTCACTGGTCTCATTGGTCTCACTGGTGTCACTGGTTTCTGTCACTGGTGTTACTGGTCTCACTGGTTTGTGTTACTGGTGTTGCTGGTTTCTCTCACTGGTCTCACTGGTTTCTCTCACTGGTCTCACTGGTCTCACTGGTCTCACTGGTCTCACTGGTTTCTCTCACTGGTCTCACTGGTTTCTCTCACTGGTGTAACTGGTCTCACTGGTCTCACTGGTTTCTGTCACTGGTCTCACTGGTCTCACTGGTGTCACTGGTTTCTCTCACTGGTCTCACTGGTGTCACTGGTTTCTGTTACTGGTCTCACTGGTGTCACTGGTTTCTCTCACTGGTCTCACTGGTCTCACTGGTGTCTCTCACTGGTTTCTCTCACTGGTCTCACTGGTGTCACTGATGTCACTGGTGTAACTGGTTTCTATCACTGGTGTCACTGGTGTCACTGGTCTCACTGGTGTCACTGGTTTCTCTCACTGGTCTCACTGGTGTCACTGGTCTCACTGGTGTCACTGGTTTCTCTCACTGGTCTCACTGGTGTCACTGGTTTCTGTTACTGGTCTCACTGGTCTCACTGGTTTCTCTCACTGGTCTCACTGGTTTGTCTCACTGGTCTCACTGGTGTCACTGGTTTCTCTCACTGGTCTCACTGGTGTCTCTCACTGGTTTGTCTCACTGGTCTCACTGGTGTCACTGGTTTCTATCACTGGTCTCACTGGTGTCACTGATGTCACTGGTGTAACTGGTTTCTATCACTGGTGTCACTGGTTTCTCTCACTGGTCTCACTGGTGTCACTGGTTTCTCTCACTGGTCTCACTGGTGTCACTGGGAGCCGTTCCCGCTCCGTTGTTTGGTTTCCATGGCAACGCCCCAAACACGGGCGGGGGCGGCTCCCCTGGGAGGGGCGGGGAGGGCGTGGCCCAGGCCCCGCCCCCGGCCCCGCCCCCCTCGGGCCACCCCGCCCGAGGCAGAGCGAGAAGGGAGCGGGACCGGCCGGAGGTGCTGGGAGAACTGGGGAGACTGGGGGGACTGGGGGGTCTGGGGGGACTGGGGGGACTGGGAGGGACTGGGGGGACTGGGGGGACTGGGGAGACTGGGGGGACTCGGGGGACTGGGGGCACTGGGAGGGACTGGGGGGACTGGGGAGACTGGGAGGGTCTGGGGGGGACTGGGAGAACTGTGGGAAACTGGGGGAAATTGGGGGCACTGGGAGGACTGGGAGGGACTGGGGAGCACTGAGAAGGACTGGGGGGCACTGGGGGAAGTGGGGGAACTGGGGGGGACTGGGAGAACTGGGCAGGACTGGGGGGCACAGGAGGGTCTGGGGGAACTGGGGGGACTGGGAGGGACTGGGAGAACTGGGGGAACTGGGGGTACTGGGGGGGACGGGGGGACTGGGGGAACTGGGCAGGACTGGGGGGCGCTGGGGGGGTCTGGGGGAACTGGGGGAACTGGGGGCACTGGGAGGGACTGGGAGCACTGGGAGGGACTGGGAGGGACGGGGGGGAACTGGGGGGAACCGGGCGGTCACTGGGGGAAGCGGGAGGGGACTGGGAATGTACTGGGAATGTACTGGGAGGAACTGGGGGGCACTGGGGGCACTGGGGGGCACTGGGGGAATCGCACCGGGGGAATGGGGGGAACTGCGGCGCTGGGGGGACTGGGGGAACTGGGAATCACTGGGAGTTACTGGGGGGGTCCCTGGCGGTGACTGGGAGGTGCTGGCTCTGGGGTGTCTGTGTGTCGCCAGCAATGTCCCCACAGGTGTCCCTGTGTCCCCCGCCATGTCCCTGTGTCCCCATGGGTGTCCCCATGGGTGTCCCTGCATGCTCACACTTGTGCCTGTGTCCCCCACAGGTGTCCCTGTGTCCGCCCCCAACATGTCCCTGTGTCCCTCACAGGTGTCCCCACAGGTGTCCCTGTGTCCCCCCCCTCCATGTCCCTGTGTCCCCCCCATGTCCGTGTCCCCATGGATGTCCCCACATGCTCACACCCGTGCCTGTGTCCCCTAGCTGTCCCCACAGGTGTCCCTGTGTCCCCCCCATGTCCCTGTCCCCCCCCCCAGGTGTCCCCACGGTGGTCCCTGTGTCCCCCCCCCATGTCCCCGTGTCCCCCCCGCCGTGTCCCTGTGTCCTCTTCCATGTCCCCATGCCCCCCCCATGTCCCCATGCCTCCCCCATGTCCCTGTGTCCCCCCCCAGCTGTCCCCACGATGTCCCCTGGCGGTGTCCCCACGATGTCCCCTGGCGGTGTCCCCTCCGGGTGTCCCCATGTCCCTTTGTCCCCCCCGCCCATGTCCCTGTGTCCCCCCCTCAGCTGTCGGCACCATGTCCCTGCGTGTCCCCACGATGTCCCCTGGCGGTGTCCCCTCCGGGTGTCCCCATGTCCCCGTGTCCCGCTGCTTTCCCGCAGGACGATGCCGGTGACGCTGGAGCTGCGGCTGCTGCTGCTGGCGCTGGCGCTGCGGGGGGAGGCGGTGCCACCCCCCGTGTCCCCCCCGGTGTCGCCCCCGGTGTCCCCCCCGGTGTCCCCTGCCCCCGAGCCGTGCGCGGCGGCGCTGGCCGATGTGCTGAGGCGGCTGCGGGAGCTCGAGGGACACGTGCAGGCGCTCAGGGGACACTGCGGGGACAAGGGGGGACCCCAGGCCGGGACAGGTAACGGGGGACAAGGGGGGGACACCGGGGGGGGACACCGGGGGGGACAGAGAGGGCGAGGGGACATGGGGGACATTGGGGACATTGGGGACATTGGGGACATTGGGGACATGGGGGACATGGCAGAACACGAGGCTGGGACAGGTGACAGGGGACAAGGGGGGACACAGGGGAGCCCCAGGATGGGACAGGGACACAGGGAGGGCAGGGGGACATTGGGGACATGGGGGACATTGGGGACATTGGGGACATGGGGACAGTGAGGGGACAAGGGGGGACCCCAGGCCGAGACAGGTAACGGGGGACAAGAGGGGGACACGGGGGGGACAGGGAGCACAGGGAGGGCGAGGGGACATGGGGGACATTGGGGACATTGGGGACATGGGGGACACTGGGGACATGGGGGGACATGGCAGAACACGAGGCTGGGACAGGTGACAGGGGACAAGGGGGGGACACGGGGGAGCCCCAGGGTGGGACAGGGACACAGGGAGGGCAGGGGGACACTGGGGACATGGGGGACATTGGGGACATGGGGGGCATTGGGGACATGGGGGGCATTGGGGACACTGGGGACATGGGGGACATTGGGGACATGGGGGGCATTGAGGACATGGGGGGCATTGGGGACATGGGGGGCATGAGGGACATGGGGGACATGGGGGACATGGGGGGCATTGGGGACATGGGGGACATGGGGGGCATTGGGGACATGGGGGACATTGGGGACATGGGGGACATTGGGGACATGGGGGACATGGGGGACATTGGGGACATGGGGCTCATAGGGGCAGTGAGGGGACATGGCAGAACGTGAGGCTGGGACAGGTGATAGAGGTTGGTGACATGGAGGGGACACGGGGGCAGGGGAGAATGAGGGACAGGGGGGACACAGCGGGGCATGGGGGGCACTGTGGGGTCATTGGGGGGGGTCACTGGGGGGGGTCATTGGGGGTCATTGGGGGGTGATTGGGGGAGTCACTGGGAATCATTGGGGGGGTCATTGGGCGGGTCACTGGAGGGGTCATTGGGAATCATTGGGGGGTCACTGGGGGCTCATTGGGGGGTCACTGGGGGGTCACTGGGGGGGCTCATTGGGGGGTCACTGGGGGGGGTCACTGGAGGGGTCACTGGGGGGTCATTGGGGGGGGTCACTGGGGGGTCACTGGGGGCTCATTGGGGGGTCACTGGGGGGGTCACTGGGGGCTCACTGGGGGTCCCCCCATTGTCCGTGTCCCCCCAGGCCGCTCGGTGCAGCTCTGCGCCCCCCCCGAGGGCGGTGGCTGCCCTTGCCCCGCCCCCTCCGGCGAGGCCCCGCCCCCGGCTCCGCCCCCCGCCGCGTGCCCCCGCGGCTGCAGCGACCAGGGCCGGTGCGAGCGCGGGCGCTGCCGCTGCTTCCCGGGCTGGAGCGGCCCCGACTGCGGCACCCCCGCCTGCCAGCCCGGCTGGGGCGGCGCCCGCTGCGACATCGGTGCGTCCCCAAGGTGGCCCCAAGGTGTCCCTGCACTGTCCATCCCCTCAGTGCCCCATCCCAGGCTGTCCTCATCCCATGGGTGTTCCCATGGTGTCCCCAAGGTGCCCCCAAGGTGTCCCCGCAGGGACCTCCCGCCTGCCCCACCCCTGACTGGGAGGGGAACCGGCTGCGACATCGCTGCCCCCAGTGCCCCCAGTGCCCCCCAGTGCTCCCCAGTGCCGCCACCCCAGCGCTGCCAGTGCCCCCCAGTGCCCCTCAGTGCCCCTCAGTGCCCCCAGTGCCCCCCAGTGCCCCCCAGTGCCCCCCAGTGCCCCCCAGTGCCCCCAGTGCCTCCCAGTGCCCCCCAGTGCCCCCCAGTGCCCCCAGTGCCCCCAGTGCCCCCCAGTGCTCCCCAGTGCCCCCAGTGCCTCCCAGTGCCCCCAGTGCCCCCAGTGCCCCCAATGCCCCCAGTGTCCCCAGTGCCCCCCAGTGCCCCCCAGTGCCCCCCAGTGCTCCCAGTGCCCCCCAGTGCCCCCACCCATGGGGGTTCCTGTGCCACCTCCGTGTGTCCCCAAGTGTCCCCATGTGCCACTGCTCAGTGGCTCCCCGTCACCCAGCCCTGAGTGGCCCCGTCCCGTCGTGGCCCCAGCACGTCACGGGGTGTTCCCAGCATGTGTCCATGCCCTGGATGCCAGGGTGTCCCCATGGTGTCCCCATGGTGTCTCTGTGGTGTCCCCATGGTGTCCCTGAGCTGTCCCATAGTGTCCCTGCACTGTCCATCCCCTGAATGCCCCATCCCAGGGTGTCCCCAAGGTGTCCCCATGGTGTCCCTGTGGTGTCCCCATGGTGTCCCTGCACTGTCCATCCCCTCAATGCCCCATCCCAGGGTGTCCCTGCGGTGTCCCCATGGTGTCCCTGTGGTGTCCCCATGGTGTCCCTGCACTGTCCATCCCCTCAATGCCCCATCCCAGGGTGTCCCTGCGGTGTCCCCATGGTGTCCCCTGCACTGTCCCATAGTGTCCCTGCACTGTCCATCCCCTCAATGCCCCATCCCAGGGTGTCCCTGCGGTGTCCCCATGGTGTCCCCTGCACTGTCCCATAGTGTCCCTGCACTGTCCATCCCCTCAATGCCCCATCCCAGGGTGTCCCCATGGTGTCCCTGCGGTGTCCCCATGGTGTCCTTGTGGTGTCCCCATGGTGTCCCTGCACTGTCCATCCCCTCAATGCCCCATCCCAGGGTGTCCCTGCGGTGTCCCCAGGGTGTCCCCATCCCACGGGTGTCCTCATGGTGTCACTGCACTGTCCATCCCCTCAATGCCCCATCCCAGGGTGTCCCTGTGTTGTCCCCATGGTGTCCCCTGGACTGTCCCATAGTGTCCCCTGCACTGTCCATCCCCTGGATGCCCCATCCCAGGGTGTCCCCATGGTGTCCCCAGGGTGTCCCCGTGGTGTCCCTGCGGTGTCCCCATGGTGTCCCCATGGTGTCCCTGCACTGTCCCATGGTGTCCCTGCACTGTCCATCCCCTGAATGCCCCATCCCAAAGTGTCCCCATGGTGTCCCTGTGGTGTCCCCAGGGTGTCCCCATACCAGGGTGTCCCCGTGGTGTCCCCAGGGTGTCCCCGTGGTGTCCCCGTGGTGTCCCCATGGTGTCCCCGCGGTGTCCCCATGGTGTCCCTGCTGTCCCCTCAGAGGTGCCCTGGGTGACGCCACGCTTGGCCTCCCGCACGCCGACGTCCCTGCGCATCACCTGGCCCCAGCCCCTGGTCCCTCCTGATGGCTACCGGGTGACACTCGTGCCCCTGGTGAGCGGGGACACAGGGGGGTGGGACAGGGACAGGAGGGGACACAGCGGGGAACAGGGACATGGAAGGGCCAAGACCCCAGGGCCACCCGTGTGGCCACAATGGGAAGACCCCAACATGTCCCCAAATCATCCCCATGTGTCCCCAAGGTGTCCTCAATGGTACCCCCTACGTGTCCCCCCCAGCGTGTCCCAAACATGTGCATGCCCCTGGCATGTCCCCAGCGTGACCCCAATGTGTCCCAGCCTGTGTCCAGTGTGTCCCCAGCGTGTCCCCAGTGTCCAGTGTGTCCCCAGTATGTCCCAGCCTGTCCCCAGCCTGTCCCCAGTGTGTCCCAGCCTGTCCCCAGCGTGACCCCAGTGTGTCCCAGCCTGTCCCCAGTGTGTCCCAAATATGTCCCAGCCTGTGTCCAGTGTGTCCTCACCTGTGTCCCCCATGTTCCCGGTGGTGTCTCCACCACGTTCCTGGTGTATTCCCGTGGTGTCCCCAACGAGTTGCCACCCTGTCCTCACTGTGTCCCCAACATGTCTCCAATGTGTCCCTCAGGTTCCCAACACATTCCTAAGATATCCCCAGTGTGTCCTCAATGTGTCCCCAGTGTGTCCCCAGTGTGTCCTTTTGGTGTCCCCGTGGTTTCTCCCAGTCTGTCCCATGGTGTCCCCATGGTGTCCCCAGTGTCTCCCTGTGGTGTCCCCATGGTGTCCCCAGTGTGTCCCTGTGCTGTCCCCAATGTGTCCCTGTGGTGTCCCCATGGTGTCCCCAGTATGTCCCTGTGGTGTCCCCATGGTGTCCCCAATGTGTCCCTGTGCTGTCCCCATGGTGTCCCCAGTGTGTCCCTGTGGTGTCCCCATGGTTCCCCCCCGTCCCCTCACTCTGTCCCTGTCCCCAGGATGACCCCGTGGCCATGACGACGCACGAGCTGCCCAGCTCTGCTGTCGCCTTCTCGGTGACAGGGCTGTCCCCAGGCCGCCCCTTCGAGCTGCTGGTCCAGGCCCGGAGGGGGCCACACCTGGGGGCACCCGGGGTCCTGCGTCTGCGCACAGGTGGGGACACCTGGGGACACCGTGGGGACACCGTGGGGACAGGGCAGGGGTTGGGGAAACAGGAGTGGGGTCAGTGTGGGAATGGCATGGGGGTGAGGATGGAGAGAGGGTCCTGCACCTGCGCACAGGTGGGGACACTTGGGGACACCACAGGGACACCTGGGGACATCCATGGGGACAAGTCAGGGCAACAGGAATGGGGTCAGTGTGGTAATGGCATGGGGGTGAGGGTGGAGAGAGGATCCTGCACCTGTGCACAGGTGAGAACACTTGGGGACACCACAGGGACACCTGGGGACACTGTGGGGAGAGGGCAGGGGGTGGGAATGGCATGGGGGTGAGGGTGGAGAGAGGGTCCTGCACCTGTGCACAGGTGGGGACACTTGGGGACACAGTGGGAACAGGGAAGGGCAACAGGAATGGGGTGAGAGTGGGAATGGCATGGGGAGGGGGATGTAGAGAGGGTCCTGCACCTGTGCACAGGTGAGAACACTTGGGGACACCACAGGGACACCTGGGGACACCACAGGGACACCTGGGGACACCGTGGGGAGAGGGCAGGGGGTGGGAATGGCCTTGGGAGGGGGATGTAGAGAGGGTCCTGCACCTCTGCACAGATGGGAACACCACAGGGACACCACAGGGACACCTGGGAACACCACAGGGACACCACAGGGACACCTGGGGACAAGGCAACAGGCACAGAGGTGGAGTTAGGGACACAGCAGGGACAGGAATGGGAGTGGGGATGGAAGGAAAGGCGTGGGCACAGTGGGTGGCATGGGGACAGGGACAGGTGGTATAGGGACAGTGGGAACGGGGATGGCACAGGGATGGGGACAGCGATGACATGGGGTCACCATGGGGACAGGGACAGCGAGAGGACAAGGATGGGGTTGGGGCTGGCATGGGCATGGGGACAGGGATGAGAGGCATGGGGACAGGGACAGCACAGTGCCACCGTGAAGGGGACAGGGACAGGCCAGCTGTGAGGTCAGGAATGGCACAGGGACAGCACAGTGCCACCGTGAAGGGGACAGGGACAGGCCAGCTGTGAGGTCAGGAATGGCACAGGGACAGCACAGTGCCACCGTGAAGGGGACAGGGACAGGCCAGCTGTGAGGTCAGGAATGGCACAGGGGTGGAAATGGCACAGAGATGGGGACAGTAGGGTGACAGTGTGGCACTGAACAGAGATGGGATGGCACAAGGATGGGGCTGGGGACAGCGATGGCGTGGCCAAGGGGGTGGGGACAAGGATGGGAACAGGGACAGGGGTGGCATGGGCATGGGTACAGGGGGTAACATGGACACGGGGACAGGGGTGGGGATGGCCCAGGGATCGGGACAGGGATGTCCCCAGTCTCTGTGACAGATTGGTGACATGGGTCCCCTTTGTTCCACAGCACTCATCCCGTCCGTGCCCCACCATGAGGGGTCCCCGGGGTCGCCTCAGGGCTCCCTGGGGTCCCCAGCAGTGGCACCATCATCCCGAGGACCTCCAGAGTCCCCAGGGTCACTGGGCTCCCCAGGGTCACCGGTGTCACCCGTATCACCAGATTTGTCCTTGGGGTCACCTGGGTCTTTGGGGTCACCAGCAGCCCCCAAGGTTCCAGCATCTCCAGCAGCTCGAGGGTCCCTGGGATCCCCAGCACCCGCGAGGTCACCGGTGTCACCAGAATCCCCATGGTCACCAGTGTCACCAGAATCCCCATGGTCACCGGTGTCACCAGAATCCCCAGGGTCACCAGCACCACCAGAATCCCCAGGGTCACCGGTGTCACCAGAATCCCCAGGGTCACCAGCACCACCAGAATCCTCAGAGTCACTGGTGTCACCAGAGTTCTCAGTGTCCCCAGAGTCCCCAGAGTCGCCAGGGTCCCCTCCACCCCCGTGGTCCCCAGCGTCCCCGTGGCCCCCCCTGTCCCCAGGCATCCCCTCCCTGCAGGACCTGGTGGCCCGGCTGTCCCCGTACAGTGGCTCCTTGCTCCAGCGTCTCGAGAGCCACCTCCGGGCCACCAACTTCCCTCTGCGTGGCAACCAGACCGTGCCAGGGGTGGCCCGAGCCATCCTGGCCTACATCCTGCGCCGGCACCCGAGCCTGGGGACAGGACAGGGACACACAGGTGGGTGTGGGGACACTGGGGACGGAGAGGGGGGAAAAAGAGGCCTCAGGGATGGGGGTACAAGGGAGGGACATCCTGGAGAGTGGAACAGGAGAGATGGGGAGAAAGGAACATCAGAGTGAGGGGAAGGCAGGGAGGAGGGAGTGGGGATGGTGGGACAGGGACAGGGACGGGACAGGGACAGGGAAAGGACAGGGAAGAGACAGGGACAGGGAAGGGTCAGGGACAGGGACAGGGAAAGGATGGGGAAGGGACAGGGACAGGGACAGGGACAGGGACAGGGACAGGGACAGGGAAAGGGAAGGGAACAGGGAAGGGACAGGGACAGGGACAGGGACAGGGACAGGGACAGGGACAGGGAAGGGACAGGGACAGGGAACGGACAGGGACAGGGACAGGGACAGGGACAGGGAAAGGACAGGGACAGGGACAGGGACAGGGACAGGGAAAGGACAGGGACAGGGACAGGAACAGGGAAGGGACAGGGACAGGGACAGGGACAGGGAAAGGGACAAGGACAGGGACAGGGAAGGGACAGGGACAGGGACATTCCAGGGTGGGATGGTGGGGATGGGGCAGGGGAACAGGGAGGATGGGGAGAAAGGAACATCAGAGTGAGGGAATGCAGGGAGGTGGTTGGAGGGGTGAGGGGACAGGGGCAGGACAGGGACGGGACAGGGAAGGGAATTTCCAGGGATGGTGGGAATGAGGGGATGGGGAGTGGGACAGGACAGGGAAGGGACAGGGAAGGGACATTCCAGGGGAATGCAGGGAGGAGGGAGTGGGACAGGGACAGGACAGGGAAGGGGCATTCCAGGGAGGGTGGGATGGAGGAAATGGGGAAGGGGAGAAAGGAACATCAGAGCGAGGGGAAGGCAGGGAGGAGATAGTGGGACAGGGACAGGGACAGGGACAGGGACAGGGACAGGGACAGGGACAGGGTCAGGGACAGGGAAGGGGCATTCCAGGGAGGGTGGGATGGAGGGGATGGGGAACAGGGGAGAAAGGAACATCAGAGTGAGGGGAAGGCAGGGAGGTGGGAGTGGGGATCAGGGACAGGGACAGGGAAGGGACAGGGACAGGGAAAGGACATTCCAGGGAGGGTGGGATGGAGGAAATGGGGAGGGGGAACAGGGAGGATGGGGAGAAAGGAACATCACACTGAGGGGAATGCAGGGAGGAGGGAGTGGGACAGGGACAGGGACAGGGACAGGGTGAGGGACAGGGAAGGGACATTCCAGGGAGGGTGGGATGGAGGGGATGGGGAAGGGGAGAAAGGAACATCACAGTGAGGGGAATGCAGGGAGCAGGGAGTGGGACAGGGACAGGGACAGGGAAGGGACATTCCAGGGAGGGTGGGATGGAGGAAATGGGGAGGGGGAACAGGGAGGATGGGGAGAAAGGAACATCACACTGAGGGGAATGCAGGGAGCAGGGAGTAGGACAGGGACAGGGACAGGGACAGGGAAGGGACATTCCAGGGAGGGTGGGATGGAGGGGATGGGGAGCAGGGGAGATGGGGAGGATGGGTGGAAGGGACATCCAGAGAAGGAGGAGGATAACAGGGACCAGGGGGAGGGACACCCTGGGGAGGGAAATGAGAGGTGGGGTGGCAGGGATGTCCTGTAACGCACTCTCTGGGGGCAGGGGAAGGTGGAAACCAGGTGCCAGTGCTGGAATGGGGCGACTTGGACAGGATGAAGCTGACGGAGCCGTGGAGGGACGTGGGGAAAACAGGTACTGATGTGGGGGGTGATGGACGGGATGAGCTCAGGTGTTGGACTTGATGACCCTTGTGGGTTTCATCCAATTCAGGAGATTCTGGGATACCTGGGATGGATGGATGGATGGATGGATGGATGGATGGATGGATGGATGGATGGATGGAGGGATGGATGGATGGATGGATGGATGGATGGATGGATGGATGGATGGAGGGATGGAGGGATGGATGGATGGATGGGTGGATGGATGGATGGATGGATGGATGGATGGATGGATGGACGGATGGCACATGGATTAGAGAGATGGACAGACTGATGAATGGAGACATGAACGGGGATGGGGATGGATGGAGAGATGGAGGGATAAGGGAGGGATAGATGGAGGGAGGGCTGGAGACATGGATGGCCATGTGAATGGACAGACAGATGCCTGTGCCCACACTGTTCCCACTCCATTGCAGTCAAAGCCGAGCCAGAAGAGCAGCGTCCATCCCGGCCAGTCCTGGGTGACCTCAGTGTCTCCAGTGTCAGCCCCAGCTCTGTGCAGCTGCACTGGAGCGTCCCCGAGGGCTCCTTTGACTCCTTCACGCTGCAGTTCCGGGATGCCCAGGGCCAGCCCCAGGCCCTGCCCATCGATGGCGGCTCCCGCTCGGTGACAGTGCCAGGGCTGTCCCCGTCCCACCGGTACCGCTTCCACCTCTACGGGCTGCGGGGTGAGAAGAGGATTGACCGTGTCTCCATTGATGTCATCACAGGTGAGGGTGGATGGATAGATGGGTGATGGGTGGAGGGACCAACTTATCCCATCTCATCTCATCCCATCCTCACCTGCTATCAAGAACCCACTGACATCATCATTACCCGTCACCATTGTTACCATCATCATCCGTCACCCATCATCCATCACCCATCCTTCTACCCAAACTGTGCCTGGTTTCCCCCAATCCCAAGTGCCAGCTTGGGGAGGGAGGACGGGTAACATCATGGTGGGATGGATGATGGATGGATGGATGGATGGATGGATGGATGGATGGATGGATGGATGATGGATGGAGGATGGATGGATGGATGGATGGAGGATGGATGGATGGATGGATGGATGGATGATGGATGGAGGATGGATGGATGGATGGATGGATGGAGGATGGATGGATGGATGGATGGATGGATGGATGGATGGATGGATGGAGGATGGATGGATGGATGGATGGATGGATGATGGATGGATGGATGATGGATGGATGATGGATGGATGGATGGATGGATGGATGATGGATGGATGGATGGATGATGGATGGATGGATGGATGATGGATAGATGGATGATGGATGGATGGATGGATGGATGGATGGATGGATGGATGGATGGATGATGGATGGATGATGGATGGATGATGGATGGATGATGGATGGATGATGGATGATGGATGGATGATGGATGATGGATGATGGATGGATGGATGGATGGATGGATGGATGGATGGTGGATGGGTGGATGATGGATGGATGGAGGGATGGATGGATGGATGATGGATGGATGGATGGATGGGTGGATGGATGGATGGTGACTGTGATGGGTAATGATGGATGGCCTTGATTAAGATGAAGGTCAGTGGTGAATGGATGATGGGTGTTGGGGCAATTTTCTGGAGGTTTGATGCATCAAATCAGTGTTTTGGTGACTGGACGATCCAAATGAGGGAGAAGTTAAAGAATCGATTGAAGCGAAAGGTGCCTGCAAAGAACTGCGCTTGAATGAATGAGTTGATGATGAAAGCCAGAATGAATGATCCAGGAGATGAAAGTGTGGATGGATGTTCAGCTGGACACACCCATCACCCTCACCTCTCCATCACAGCTGCAGAAGAGCCAGAGGAGCAGAACTTGCCCTCAGAGGAGCCCCATGAGAAACCCCAACCTGAGTCCCCGGCATCTGAGGCACTCCCAGCACGGGCGGTGCTGGGGGAGCTGAGAGTGTCCAGTGTCAGCCCCAGCTCTGTGCAGCTGCACTGGAGCGTCCCCGAGGGCTCCTTTGACTCCTTCACGCTGCAGTACCGGGATGCCCAGGGCCAGCCCCAGGCCCTGCCCATCGATGGCGGCTCCCGCTCGGTGACAGTGCCAGGGCTGTCCCCGTCCCACCGGTACCGCTTCCACCTCTACGGGCTGAGGGGCAGGAAGAAGATCGACCATGTGTCCACCGAGGCTGTGACAGGTGAGGGGAAGGGTCACATGGGGGAGGGTGGGTAGATGGGTGGATGAACAATGATGGATGGGTAGGTGCAAAGATGGAGGGATCAAGGGATGGAGGATTGGGTGGGTTCAGGAAGAGGTGGAGGAGGTGCAGAGGTGGATGGATGGATGGATGGATGGATGGATGGATGGATGGATGGATGGATGGATGGATGGATGGATGGATGCATGCATGGATGGGTGGATGGATGGGTGGATGGATGGATGGATGGATGGATGGATGGATGGATGGATGGATGGATGGATGGATGGATGATGTTTGGAGGATTGCATGGATAGATGCATGGTTAAGGTGAGAGATGGATGCATGGATGGATGGATGGATGAATGGGCAGAAGAAGCGATGAGCAATGTGTGGATGATTGAAACTGGCTGGTGGCTCCTGGGCGAATTAGCTGGTTGGGTAGATTGAAGGGTCGGGGGATGGTGGGGAATGCATGGACAGTGATGGATGAGATATCGATGGAGGGTGGCCTCCAGGGTGGATTGGGTGGATGGACGGTGAATGGACACGTGCTGGACAGGTGGGTACAGCTGAGCCCATGGCTGGTTGCTGCTCTGAGTGAGGGCTGGTAGGGGAGCAGGGGTGTAAGTGTGCATTCAATCCACATTCCCATAGGATTGTATTCCAGGAGTGACTGAAGGAAACAGGATGGATGGATGAGTGAGTGGATGAAGATGGATAATGGATGGAAGCTGTTTGTCCGTGGTTTTCCATGTCAGAGCAGTGGGTGGGTAGCTGGATGACCCAATGCATGGTGAGATTAAAGAAGTTGAAGGAAAATGGGCGTGGTATGACCTGTAGTTACGTGGATGGGTAAATGATGGGTGCAGGAATGAATAGTCCTGCAGATAAAAGTGTAAATGGAAGGATGTATGCCTGGATTGGTGAGTGGGGGGATGGATGATTGAATGGACACAGGGATTGCCATGCCATCATCCATTGCAGGCACAGAAGAGCCAGAGGAGATGCTCCTGCCTTCAGAGGAGCAAAAACATGAGAAACTTCAAACTGAGAGGCCCCCGTCTGAGGCCCCCATGGTGCAGGCGGTGCTGGGGGAGCTGAGAGTGTCCAGTGTCAGCCCCAGCTCTGTGCAGCTGCACTGGAGCGTCCCCGAGGGCTCCTTTGACTCCTTCACGCTGCAGTACCGGGATGCCCAGGGCCAGCCCCAGGCCCTGCCCATCGATGGCGGCTCCCGCTCGGTGACAGTGCCAGGGCTGTCCCCGTCCCACCGGTACCGCTTCCACCTCTACGGGCTGAGGGGCAGGAAGAAGATCGACCATGTGTCCACTGAGGCTGTGACAGGTACAGGGGAAGATCAGGAAAGGAAAGGGTGGGTGGATGTATGGATGAAGAAAAATGGATATATGGAGAGTTGGAGGGATCAAGGGATGGAGGAAAGGGTGATTGGAGGAAGAGATGGAGTGGTGGAGGGAAGGAGGAATACAGGGATGGGTGCGTGGATGGATGCATGGATGCATGGATGGATGCATGGATGGATGCATGGATGGATGAGTGGATGGTTGCCAGAATGAATGCTCCAGAATATGGAAGTGTGGATGAAAGAGTGGGTTGGTCGGTGGTGCATGGATGTTTGGATGGAAGCAGCCATGACCATGCCCTCTCCATAGGAGCTGCAGAAGAGCCAGAGGAGCTGCCCCTGCCCTCAGAGGAACCGCAGCATGAGAAACCCCAAACTGAGGCCCCCACATCTGAGGCCACTCCAGCACTGGGGGAGCTGAGAGTGTCCAGTGTCAGCCCCAGCTCTGTGGGGCTGCACTGGAGCGTCCCCGAGGGCTCCTTTGACTCCTTCACGCTGCAGTACCGGGATGCCCAGGGCCAGCCCCAGGCCCTGCCCATCGATGGCGGCTCCCGCTCGGTGACAGTGCCAGGGCTGTCCCCGTCCCACCGGTACCGCTTCCACCTCTACGGACTGAGGGGCAGGAAGAAGATCGACCGAGTCTCTATTGACATTATCACAGGTGAGATGGAAGGTCAGAGGGATGGATGGATGGATGGATGGATGGATGGATGGATGGATGGATGGATGGATGGATGGATGGATGGATGGATGGATGGACAGATGGATGGATTGATGGGTGGATGGATGGATGGATGCATTGATGGATGGATGGATGGATGGATGGATGGATGGATGGATGGATGGATGGATGGATGGACAGATGGATGTATTGTTGGTAAGTGGTGGGATGGACTTTTGGAAGGACACAGGCATTTCCACAGGCATCACTATCCCCTCTCCATAGGAGCTGCAGAAGAGCCAGAGGAACTGCCCCTGCCCTCAGAGGAACCGCAGCATGAGAAGCCCCAAACTGAGGCCCCCAAATCTGAAGTCACTCCAGCACGGGCGGTGCTGGAAGAGCTGAGAGTGTCCAGTGTCAGCCCCAGCTCTGTGCAGCTGCACTGGAGCGTCCCCGAGGGCTCCTTTGACTCCTTCACGCTGCAGTACCGGGATGCCCAGGGCCAGCCCCAGGCCCTGCCCATCG